ATTGAAATTCAAGAGCTGAAAAAGCAGTTTCTAATACGAAAAATTCCCTGGATGGATTTAGCAATCATGTGGACACAGGAGAGAGACTATGTGAAGATAGATCAATAGGGGTTATAGAAGGGGAAGAGCAGAGAGAAATAATGATTTGAGAGAATGAACAAAGAGCCTCAGAGTGCTGTTACACCAGGAAGCAGTAAACAGTTCCTGTAAAAAGCCAGATAATTATCATTTTAGGCTTTGTGATCCACATTTTCTTATTTTTTCTTTTCTTTATTAAACTACTTTTTGTATTTCTTTTTTAAAGATAGACTATTTTTTGGGTATAAGCTATAATTCTTTTTTTCTTCCATCTTATTTTATTTTTTTAGTGTTCCAAGATTCATTGTTTATGCACCAAGCCCAGTGCTCCATGCAATACATACCCTCCTTAATACCCACCACAAGGCTCACCTAACCCCCCACCTCCTTCCCTCCAAAACCCTCAGTTTGTTTCTCAGAGTCCACAGTCTCTCATGGTTCATCTCCCCCACCCCGATTTCTCCCAATTAACTTTCTGTTCCTTCTCCTAATGTCCTCCATGTTATTCCTTATGATAGACTATTTTTAGAGCAGTTTTAAGTTGGCTGCAACATTGAGCAGAAAGTACAGAGATTTCCCATATATCTTGTCCCATTGCACACACAGCTTCCCTACACATCAATATCCTGCACCAAGTGAGACATTTGATATAATTGAGCCTACATTGATGCATCATTATCCCCAAAAGTCCATAGTTTACATTGGGGTACAGTCTTGGTGTTGTACATTCTATGGTTTTTGACAAATGTATACTAACAGGTACCCACCACTACAGTCTCCTGTAGAGTAGTTTTACTGCGCTAAACCTCTGTAATGTGCCTATTTATTTCTCTCTCCCCTGCCCACCACTCATCTTTTTACTGCCTCTACAGTTTTTCCTTTTCCAAAATGTCACAGAGTTGGAATCATGCAGCGTGTAGCCTTTTCAGATCGGCTTTCGCTTCATTTTATGCATCCAAGACTCCTCCATGTCTTCTCATAGCTAGACTGTTCATTTGCTTTTAGGACAGAATAATATTGCATTGTTTGGATGTATTATGGTTTATTTATGCATTCACCTACTGAAAGGAATGGTGGTTGCTTCCAAGGTTTGACAATTATTAAGAAAGCTAAGCTTCTGCACAGCAAAGGAAACAGTCAACAAAACAAAGAGGAAACCCATGGAATGGGAGAAGATACTTGCAAATGACACTACAGATAAAGGGCTGATATCCAAGATCTATAAAGAACTTCTCAAACTCAACACCCAAAAAACAGATAATCAAGTCAAAAAATGGGCAGAAGGTTTGAGCAGACACTTCTCCAAAGAAGACCTACAAATGGCTAACAGACATATGAAAAAGTGTTCATATCATAAGCCATCAGGGAAATTCAAACTGAAACTACATTGAGATACCACCATATACCAGTTAGAATGGCAAAAATCAACAAGGCAAGAAACAACAAAGCTCCAACAAACGTTGAAGAAGCTGTGGAGAAAGGGGAATCCATTTACACTGTTGGTGAGAGTGCAAATTGGTGGAGCCATTTTGGAAAACAGTGTGAAGATTCCTTAAAAAACTAAAAATAGAGCTACCCTAGGACCCAGCAATTGCACTACTGGGTATTTACCCCAAAGATACAGATGTGAAAAGAAGGGGCACCTGCACCCCAGTGTTCATAGCAGCAATGTCCACAATAGACAAACTTTGGAGAGCTGAGATGACCTTCAACAGACAAATGGATAAAGATGTGGTATATATGAACAATAGAATATTATGCCTCCCTCAGAAAGGATGAATACCCACCATTTGCACCAACATGGATGGGACTGGAGGAGATTATGCTGAGTGAAATAATTCAAACAAGGTTAATTATCATATGGTTCACTTACTTGTGGAACATAAGAAATAGCATGGAGGACATTAGGAGAAGGAAGAGAAAAATGAAGGGGGAGAAATTGGAGTGGGAGCTGAACCATCAGAAACTATGGACTCCAGGAAACAAACTGAGGGTTTTAGAAGGGAGGAGGTCGGGGGATAGGTGAGCTGGGTGATGGGTATTAAGGAGGCATGGATTGCATTGAGCACTGGGTGTTATACACAAACAATGAATCATGGAACACTACATCAAAAACTAATGATGTAGGGGCACCTGGGTGGCTCAGTGGGTTAAGCCGCTGCCTTTGGCTCGGGTCATGATCTCAGGGTCCTGGGATCGAGTTCCGCGTCGGGCTCTCTGCTCAGCTGGGAGCCTGCTTCCCTCTCTCTCTCTCTCTGACTGCCTCTCTGCCTACTTGTGATCTCTCTCTGTCAAATAAATAAATAAAATCTTTAAAAAAAAAAAACTAATGATGTACTGTAGTGACTAACATAACACAATAAAAAAAAGATTATATTTTGGATAGATAAATCTTTTGCAAGTATTCTTTTTCCTGGCCTGTGATTTGTCTTATTCTCTTGATTTTGTTCCTTTTTCATTGCAATATAATATGTAAAAAAATATAATTTGCCAGTTTCACCACTTTAAAGTTATAAGTTACTGGTATTAGTTAGATTCACAATGTTGTGTAACCACTATCCACTGCCAGAACTTTTCAAAATCTTCAACAGAAACTCTGTATCCATTAGGCAATAATGTTCCAGTCCTCTTTCCCCCATCCTCTGGTGTCTCTAACCTACCTTTTTCTCTATGTATCTGCCTATTCTAGTTATTTCATAGAAGTGAATACAGTATCTGTCCTCTTTTGTCTGTCTTATTTTGCTTTGCATAAAGTTTTCATGGTTCATCTGTATTATAGTATGGACCAAAACTTTATTTCTTTTTATGGCTGAAAAGCATTCCATTGGATGTACACAACCCCTTTTATCCCTTCAACCATTGATGGTTACTCGGGTTGTTTCTGCTTTCTGGCTGTTGTGAATAATGCTGCATTGACATTGTTGTGTAAATATTTGTTTGAGTCACTTTTTCAATTCTTCTGGTTTTATACCTAGCAATGGAATTGCTAGGTCATATGGTTTCTCTGCATTTAACTTTTTAAAGAATTTCCAAAGTATTTTTCACAGTGGCTGTACTATCTTACCTTCCTGTCAGCAGACTTCCAATTTCTCTACATCCTTGTGAATGCATGATATTTTCCATCTTGGTTTTGTTGTTGTTGTTGTTGTTTTAAAGATTTTATTTATTTATGACAGAGAGAGATAGCAAGAGAGGGAACACAAGTACAGGGGAGCCGGAGAGAGAGAAGCAGGCTCCCCGCTGAGCAAGAGAGCCCAATACAGGACTCAATCCCAGGACCCAGGATCATGATCTGAGCAGAAGGTAGAGGCTTAACCAACTGAGCCACTCAGGAGCACCCACCATCTTGTTTTATTATATTATAGCCATTCTAGTAGGTATGAAGTATACCTCACTATGGCTTTGACTTACATTGTTTTCAATATCATGATGTTGAACACTTTTTTTCCTGTGCTTATGCACCATTTGTACATCTTTTTTAAAGAAATGTATAATCAAGTCCTTTGTTCATTTAAAATTCGGGTTTTTTGTCTTTTTTGTTTTTTAGAGTAGTTCTTCATATATGCCGAATACTAAACCCATTCCATTGGTCTGTTTTCCTATTTTTATGGCTTATATATGATTTACAAAAATATTTTCTCCCATTACATAGGTTATCATTTCACTTTCTTGATAATGTGCTTTGAGGTGCAAAAGTTTTTAATTTTTGATGAAGATCAGTCTATAGATATTTTTCATCACTCGTGCTTTTGGTGCCATAACAAAGAATTCATTGCCAAACCCAAAGTCATATAGATTCACTGCCCCCATTTTCTTTTTAGAGTTTTATGGTTTTAGCTCTTGTATTTAAGTCATTAACCCATTTTTTGTTAATATTTATTATGGCTTTAGGTAAGGATCTAGCTTTATTATTTTGCATGTGGATATCTAGTTGTCATGGAGCCATTTGTTGAAAAGGCTGTATTTTACCAACTGAATGATCTTGGAATTCTTTTCAAAAAATGAATCAGCCACAGAGATATGGTTTTATTTTTATTTCTGTAAGCGGGTGGTTCTGTGTTATGGAACCATTAGAAATGGACACTCTGACTTGGAACACTATTAAAAGCTACATTTACTGTCATACCTTCAGAGTTCACAGTTTCCAGCTGACGTAACAGATGACATCATGTTGGTAAGTGGAAAGGGGAACCTTAATTCTCCATAACCCCCAGAGGAGACATGCCTGGTGCTGGCAATTGTCTGTTTAACTCAGAAGTGGTACTGTCAGTCACAGGATTCTCCAATTTCTAACACTACAAATGGTGACGGCAGTTGTCATTAGATTGATTACATGGTTGAAAACTACATTTAAAATGCTGTTTTTGCAAAAACAAAAATCAAGGTCACTGGAAACATGTTTTCTGTATACCATCAAGACATATTTTTATGGACACAACAAGTTTAATAGGAATGCCTACCCATCACACTTGGGAAACAGGGACATGGTGACCATGTTCTGGAAATCCATAAGCATTCAGCTCACAGCATCCAGGAGGCACTGAACACGCCTTCCTGGCCAAAGTCTGGGACATCGTTTTACGTATCTGTGTCTTCAAATAGCCCAAATCTTATGTCATGATACATCCTCTCTGTTCCCATAGGTAACTTTTCCCCAACCTCCTAAACCACATGCTGTGTCACCTCCTCTCTAAACCCTGTCCGAAAATGTTCCCATGTCTGACGGAGATGCTGTTTCTGTGTCCTGTATGTGGCAATCACAGCTGACAGCACCTGCTATACTGAGTGTGAACCCCCATGGGTTTCTATATCCCTGGGGACCACAGAAGCCCCCAGGCCAGTGTAATCGACAATAAGTGTGTCTTCATGGAAGAATGATGTGTTGGTTCAACAAAATACTCCCTTGATCCAGAGACACTCACCTGTCTGATAAATGACCAAATATGATGCTTCCCACCAGCATTCCAGCCATGAATAAGAATTTGGCCATTGATTTTAGTGACTGAGATTCACATATCAGGTCCCACTGGAAGAAAAGGAAACCGGCAAAGGAGCGCTGTATAGCACCTCATAACCCCTCAGTGGAAACCTGATTGAAGCTACTCGAATGACTTTTATGTTTCTTTATATCAGGCTGCCTTCTTCCTTTCCAGCTTCCTTTTTTTTTTTTTTTTGCATTAGCTGATCTTTATCATTCAAGTATCAGCCTAAATACAACTTCCTCTAGAAGGATTCATCTAAACTTGTTGGCTACATTAATGCCTTGTTTCATTTCATATGCGGTGATTCAAACTTGGCCTCAGAATGCAATCGTTGGAGAAGCTTTAAACTTTCACCGATGGCAGAGTTTTACCGCAGATCTCACATGGCTGCTCCTGGGCACAGTCTTTGTGGCCGGGCACAGCCACAGGTTTTGATCAATATCCTGATGTTTCTAATTCACAAGCGTAACAAGTTTAACCCGTTACATAAATTCCTTGTTTAAACTTTAGTCTTCCTAAGAATAAAAGCCATATAATTGCAAGGTCACATCTACTTTTTAGTCCTGAGACTCATTAAATACGTAATTAGTGGCATTTAATAAAGAATATTTCCTGAAATAATGAAGAATGAACACCTATATGGTGATTAAAGGCTTGAAGCATTGTCATTATTTGTGCTGCCTCTAAACACCCAGACTGTGTACTCACAAAAGGTAAACGGATGCCTTACCTTAGTCACAATGGTGGAGGGGAAGGAGCTTTGGTCGTACACCCAGCCGTCCACACAGGGCTCTGTGTCTGACTCACTCGTGTTGGGGAAGGTCCCGTTCAGGTGAAGGAGATGCCACTGGGGATGGATGAAGCGACGACATTTCTCTGGCCTCAGGTTTGAGTCCAGCGGGATGGAGATTCTCAGGAGGGACTCTTGGCTCAGGATCCCAGTGCCATTAGCAGAGACAGTGTCATTGTCGACGATGTGGACCCAACAGCGGTGACCAGGGACGGCTGCCGTGAAGTTCTCCAACGAAACATGAGGGTACACTATGAGGCTGGAGAGACTAAGGAAAACCATCTGAAGGATCTGGAATCTTCCCAGGCCTCCAACTTGATCCAAGAGGTCCTGAAAGGCCATCGAGGCTGAACAAGTGATCCCCCGTGGAAGGCAAAAGGACTTTATTTAGAAAAATTCAAAGGAAGAAGGGTCTCCATTCACTACGTCACACCAAGCGTGTGTTGATCCTGACCCCACTTTTTCCTCAACGGGCCCCACTTTACCTCCACCAGGGCCACGGAAGCTGATTCTCCAAATTGTTTGGGGATCAGGCAGGTAGCCGTTTTCTTTAAAGTCCCAGAGAAGTATTTTGCTGAGATGCTTCCAACAGCTGACCATCAGCACTGTTTAAAGGTGCACCTTGTGAAAAGTCTTTTCGTCAGCAGTGCCCTGAAATGGCCCTGGACTTTGATCCCCACATCTGTAAATAACACAGAATAAACCTACTATAAGGATCCCAGTTTTTTGCAGAATGTGTCCCTTGAGAGCCCCAAAAGGGAACCTTTTTTGATTTTCCTGTGAAAAGCCCTAAAGATTTAGTGTAGTACTGATTTTGATTAAAAAGGTTAATGAAAATAACCCCGAGTAAACAAAAGCACGTGAAGTATGGTGCAATCCTTCCCTGGTGGAAAGTGACCCTATGTTCACTTTAAATCGGACCACAAATTCACATAAAAATAAGTTAACTCGAAAGGTGGGCAGAGTGGAGAGTGACAGAGGGCAGAAGTTAAGGCAGTGGTAAGTTCCTAAAGAGGTTGACTTCCACAGGCTTATTGATTCCTTCAGATAACTTTTGTGAGGACCTTTTCTATGCTGGGAACACAGCAGTGGATAAGACACGGTCTCTAAGGGTCTCTTCCTGTAGTCGGTGACAGACGAACAGAAATAATGACCCTCCGATATTACAAAACATTCACGTGGCTAACACACAATAGGCTATGGAGGAACTGAACAGAAAATACGGGAACAGTCATGCTTCTTGGTGTTTACCCAAATAAAATGGAAACTTACGTCCACTCAAAAACCCTGCACAGGGATGTGTGCAGCAGCTTTCTCCATCACTGCCAAAATCTGGCCGCAACTGTGATGTCCTTTCCAGGGGGTGAAGGGGGTAAATAAACTGTGGTCTACCCAGACAAGGGGTTATCACCCTAAAAAAGAAGAAAAGAAAAAAAATGAGCTATCAAGTCAGGAAAAGACATGGATGAGCCGCCAATGTAAATTATTAAATCAAAGAATCCAATCTGAAAAGGCTACATTCTGTTCCTCAAAGGCCATTACTCTGTCTTGGAGAATTCACCAGTGTGTTTTCTTTCTGCTCTTCGTGGGACATAACGCTACCCTCTTGCCCCAGCCTCACGTTCGATGATTCTGTTTTGCTACCATTTTGATCAACCGTTGAGACAATTGGTGGGTTTAACACTTCAGCAACTGTACCTTCCAAGTCATGCGTTCTCTTTACTGACGTATCCCCTGAGGTCATTGTTCCCATGTCTGTCTTTCGTTCTCAAACGTATTTTGTGAACATATTTAATAGCTGCTTTGGAGTATTTTTTTCTGCTAAGTCTAAAATCTGGGAAAACTCAGAAACTATAACGATTACTTCATTTTAGAACATTTTCATCAACTCCCAAAAGAAACCGTTCTATTGACTTAACATGCAATCCTGGTTACCTGCCCCTGAACTCTGGCAACAATGATACAATTTCTACCTGGATGTGTGTGTCTCTTTTTGAAATAAATCAATCTCCTTTGGGCCACTGATTTCGATGTGGTGTTTGTCCTTAATTTGGGAAGATGCTCAGCCATGGTTACTTTCAAGTTTCCACTGGTCCTTTCTCTCCTAATTCTCTCCTGATATTCCGATTACAAGATTATTACAGTTTGCTGCTATCTCACAATTACCGATTCTGTTAAATTTTAAAATTCTATTTTCACTTTGCATTTAAGTTCGGAAGTTTTCCAACAACCAGCCGTCAAGCTTACGGATACTTTTTTTTATCCAATTAATTAAACACATTATTACTTTCAGGGATAGAGGTCAGTGACTCATCAGTTGCATATAACACCCAATGCTCATTCCATCACATGCCCTCCTTAATGCCCATCCCCCAGTTACCCCCTCCCCCCCACCTACTTCTCCTCCAGCAACCCCTAGTTTGTTTCCTGGAGTTAAGAGTCTCTTATGGTTTACCTTCCTCTCTGATTTCATCTTATTTTATTCTTCTCTTCGCCATGAGGCTGCTGTTGAGCCCATCAAAGGCATCCATCTTTTCCATTACAGAGTTTCTGATTTCCAGCATTTCCATTCCACTGCTTCTTAGAGTTCTAGTTCTCTGCTGGTATTATCTAACTGTTCTAACATATTGCCTGCTTTTCCCATTAGAGCCCTTAGCATGTTAATCTCAGTTATTTTATTTTACTTTATTTTATTTTATTTTTTCAGTGTTCCAGAATTAATTGTTTATGCACCACACCCAGTGCTCCATGCAATACGTGCCCTCCTTAATACACACCACCAGGCTCACCCATACCCCTACGCCTCTCCCCTCCAAAACCCTCAGTTTGTTTCTCAGAGTCCACAGTCTCTCATGCTTTGTCTCAGTCGTTTTAAGTTCCTGGTCTGATAATTCCAAAAATCTATGCCCTATCTGAGACCATCTGATGTTCGCTTTGTGTCTGATGCATCGGGTGGTCAGATGGAGACAAACAGGCTTTTAGTGTGAGGTTTAAAGTCAATCTGGCTAGATGACAGGCTGTATTTAATTTACTTTAATGTCTTCTGTATCTGTATATGCCAGAGGCTTCAATCTCCTTTAGCGTACTTGGTTTTATTTAGCTTTGTTCTTCTCTCTTATTGCCTTTGGTTTTCTTATATGGAATCTCCTAGAAATCCCTTATATAGAATCTGGGTCGTGTAGCTCTTTCCCTGGTAATCCACTGTTTTTTGTCCCAGAGCCCTGTCGATGTGATGGTTGAATACTGGAGAGGGAGAACATTATGTAATATGAATATATTTCTTTATTTCTTTTTCTTTGGGAGATGCGGGTAAGAGTCCCTGTGCTGTGATCTTCAGATGAGTTTCATTATTGGGTTTTTTTTTCTTTTCTCTCCTTTTATATGAGATAGAAAAGCTAGATGGGCTGCAGCCAGTTGATTGCCTTTCTCCACATCAGATAAAGTTTTGGTAACCTAGTTTCTCTTCAGGAGCCTCCTTCTTTACAGAGAGCAAAGCCAAGGGCAGTTACTCTGGCTCTGGGTATATTTCAAAATGTTTCCTTTGTTTTTTTTTTTTTCCTCTTGGAAAAAAACCATTCTACCAATGGGGAATGAAGAACTATAGAGTGGCCATTGATTTAGAGTATGTAATATAATTTGGAAATAATTTCCAGTTTTTGCATACTATCGTCTCCTAGCTGGCTCCCCAGTACCCTTTAAATTTAACAAAGCCATCCCATCACTCTATGATCCTGGCAGCTTCCATGTGGTAGAGTGTGAATTTCAACCAGAGGATCAGGGATGTGGTGGTCATGAACCCATTCAGGCCTTTTATTCACACCCCATGTCTTCTTCGGCTCAATGAAGTGTAATGAATACGTTTATGTTGGTGAATCACTGCTCCTCTGTGCCTTTGAACAGTTACTCTAGCTGAGTCATAAAGGCAAGAAAGAGAAATGCTGGTCTGGGTTGATTCCAGTTAAGACAAATCACTCCCCTTTGGTCTTGAGAGAGATCTAATATGACCAATTCGGTGTCCATGTTCTAGTTGGTCTTCTGGAGAAATGACATGGTGTTGTTGATCCAACATTGACATATTAATTGACCCAACATTTTGACACTCAGCAGTGGCAGTAGCTAATTCAGACATGTGATTGGGAGCCTGTCTTGTTGGCTTAATGTATAGCTTCTATCCCTACTGTTCCTTGTCCTGGGTATTGGTACAGATTTTGGTACTGTCATATGGAGTTCTACCTCTTGGTAAAAAATACCTAAAAACATAGATGTAAGTGGCCTTAAAATTTGGTAATGCGTAGAAGCTAGAAGTGTTTTAAAGTACATGCTCTCCTCTAGGATTCTGATGGATTCTTGTCTCACGTTGAGGTCTTTTATCCATTTTGAGTTTGTTTTTGTGTACGGTGTAAGAGAATGGTTGAGTTTCATTCTTCTACATATAGCTGTCCAGTTTTCCCAGAACCATTTATTGAAGAGACTGTCTTTTTTCCACTGTATATTTTTTCCTGTTTTGTTGAAGATTATTTGGCCATAGAGTTGAGGGTCCATATCTGGGCTCTCTACTCTGTTCCACTGGTCTATGTGTCCGTTTTTATGCCAGTACCATGCTGTCTTGGTGATCATAGCTTTGTAGTAAAGCTTGAAATCAAGTAATGTGATGCTTCAGTTTTATTTTTGTTTTTCAACATTTCCTTAGTGATTCGGGGTCTCTTCTGATTCCATACAAATTTCTGGATTATTTGCTCCAGCTCCTTGAAAAATACCGGTGGTATTTTGATCGGAATGGCATTAAAAGTATAGATTGCTCTAGGCAGTATAGACATTTTAACAATGTTTATTCTTCCTATCCAAGAGCATGGAATGGTCTTCCATCTTTTTGTGTCTTCTTCAATTTCTTTCATGAGTGTTCTGTAGTTCCTCGAGTACAGATCCTTTACCTCTTTGGTTAGGTTTATTCCCAGGTATCTTATGGTTCTTGGTGCTAAAGTAAATGGAATCGATTCTCTAATTTCCCTTTCTGTATTTTCATTGTTAGTGTATAAGAAAGCCACTGATTTCTGTGCATTGACTTTGTATCCTGCCACGTTACTGAATTGCTGTATGAGTTCTAGTAGTTTGGGGGTGGAGTCTTTTGGGTTTTCCATATAAAGAATCATGTCATCTGCGAAGAGAGAGAGTTTGACTTCTTCATTGCCAATTTGGTACCTTTTATTTCTCTTTGTTGTCTGATTGCTGTTGCTATGACTTCTAATACTATGTTGGACAAGAGTGGTGAGAGTGGGCAAAATGATAATAATAATAATAATAATAATAATAATAAAGTACATGCTAGAAAATGCCTAGATTGCCCTGAAGAAACTGTTGGTAGAAATATGCATGTTAAAGGTAATTCTTTTGAAAGATCAGGAAGAAAAAAAGAGAGAGCTTTAGAGAAAGTTTTTTGTTTTTTTTATCTTAGAGAAGGTGTACACCATCTTGAATAGAATATCTGTAGACACATGACTATTAAAGATGGCTCTAGTGAGGTTTCAGATGGACAGAACATGTTACTGGAAATTGGAGGAGGAAAAAAAACTCTTGTTTTTTCAAATGAATTTGGTTGCATTGTGTTATAGTGTTTTGTGAAAAGTAGAATTAGTAAGTGATGAACTTGAATATTTAA